ATGTTATTGTTGAAACCTTCTTCAATTTCAAAATAATTTGTGGTGCAGTGTGGTTTGTGAGCAGGACAAGTTAAAAATGCCCTTTTGCGGAGGAAAAGCCCAAATGTCTTTGGGTACACTGAACTAGATTCACATTTGGATTACTCACTTGGACTGCCACGGACTGAAACTTTAAAACAAGTGGCCTGGGAATGATCCATGTGAATATATTTCATCTGTGAAAAATATTATTCTTTGGTAAGAAATTAATAATGCACATTTTAGTTAAAAAGAATTAGGCCAGAATCAATAGTTTTGGTAAATGTCATATCAAAAAAAAATGCTGGTTGAAAAACAGCAGAGCTGAATCATAACTATAACACAATTAAAGGAAGAAGATATCCTACTAGAACGTAGAAATGAAGTGTGCTTCTTGTGTTTTTAGACAGCAGCATAAAGATGAATAATTCTTATTGCTTATGGAAAGTATTCACTTCATTTCTCTTAAGAGTAATATGAAATGCACACTCCTCCATTACAACTTCTACCGCTATCCACTATTGATCATGCTGCTCGATGTCCTGGCAACTGAAATGTAACCACATCTGGAAGCCTACAGCACCTTTCCCTGATGTCTTATGTGGCTCTGAGTTCTAGGAAACTCTGGAATGTTCTGTGCTATAAAGTGACCTGGTATCAGATAGATGTGGTTTTGAAGTGGAAATATGAACTGCTTTTATATATAATATACTGAGATCAGCCTATGCTACAGTTACTTCTTAGAGGAAGAAAAAGCCCTCTGGTATATAGATTAAGCTTTCCTTAAGGAGCATTATTTGTGAGCTAAAAGTAAAATGGATGGATGTTAAATATCAAGTTACTATGAGATTGATTAGGTAATATTCCTATCTCTAAGTCTGATGTACAAGATGAATTGTGCTGGTTGGGGAGAATAAATATTGTAAATAGCCTAAGATAGGGGTGCATGACTTTTTTTTCAGGCAAAGCATATTTGGATGGTGTGTTGGAGGAGGCACATGTCAAAAACTGGATGGGGCCAAGATAAAGAAGTGGGTGTTAAAACTAAGTTTGCTTTCTTTTAAATTAAATCATAAATGAAAGTGGTAACTGTTGCAAAGCTTTTGTGGGTTTTATCCCAAAAAATGAGGCATGTGGCTCTGAGACCATCGATAGTACCCTCTGTTTAAGTGGGGCCATTTGGAGGGGTATGTACAAAGATCAGAATGATGCAAGCAATGGTATTCCCTGTGACAGTCTATGGAAGCTAAAGTTGGACTTTGAAGAAGCAGGATAGGAAGAATATAGACACTATTGAACTTTGGTGTTGGAGAAGACTCCTAAGAATACCATGGACAGCCAAGAAAACAAACAAATGGATCATTGAACAAATCAACCCAGAGTTCTCATTTGAGGCACAAATGACCAAGCTCAAATTATCCTACTTCAGACATGTTATGTAAAAACCCAGCTCTCTGGACAAGGTTCGAATGCTGGGAAGGTGGAAGGAAAGAGAAGAAGAGGACAACCAGCAGCAAGGTGGATGGACTCAGTTACAATGGCAGTGAGTACACTATTGGCAGACCAGAAGGACCAGGTTAGGAACAGAACATCATGGAAAACATCTATCTATGTGGTTGCTAAGAGTTGACACTGACTTGATGGCACATAATCAATTTGGAAGGGAGGCCATAGGGACACCTTGCCCTGGTTACCTTTATCCTGGCCCCACTTCAGCTTCTGAGTCTATATATTCTTGGAAACATTGGGAATGGGTGAAATGAACCCACTGTGGATACCTGATGTCTCTTGAACTGAACAGTTGATATTTTCTAGAAATATGTACCTGAGGAAGATGGAAAATGGATTATATAGGAAAGCATTATAAAATGAAATGAGAAAATATTGCTGAACAGATCAAGAAAGTGTTGGCAGAAAATAAGATAGAGCTGTAAGCGTTAAGGATATGATAATGCTTCAGATACAAGTGGGAAATACAGGGTGTGAAAACTCTGTAAGTGAAAATCCTCAGGCATAATTTCATCTTCTGCTGTGCACTCTTGGAAACTATGGTATCCATACCTGGGGAAGACTCCTGATATCAAAGAGTTTTTGGCTAATGTACAGAAGTCGTACAAGGCATTTTCATCAACCCAGCAGGACACTGCAGAACTATTCCTTCATTCCATTTTAATAAGTAGATGGAACTCAGGAAATGATGCTGTTCTCCTTGTAAAAAATTATAAAGGGGCACTAATTTCTCTCTT